ACCCAAGAGGTGTAGGGTGGGACCCAAGAATTCCAACAGGTTCCCAGGTGGTGCTGGGAGCCACACTTTGAGAACCACAGCATTACTATATCATCTCTGCTCTATTATTGTCCTGTTTTGGTTCTACTTGCTTCACAAAATTATAATAACCAGAGAAAGTGTAGGGTGGGACCCAAGAATTCTAACAGGTTCCCAGGTGGTGCTGGGAGCCACACTTTGAGAACCACAGCATTACTATATCATTTCTGCTCTATTATTGTCCTGTTTTGGTTCTACTTGCTTCACAAAATTATAATAACCAGAGAAGCAAAGAAAGGGCCAGGAAGGGGTCCATGCCATTTCCAGTATGCTTCTTTCTTTGGGGCAAAGTGTTCTTTAATGAGACGTGTGCAATGTACAGATCTGTGCATGAGCTCTTAGAAAAAGTGCGTTTGAGAGGCTCTGAGATGTATTCTAAACCTCCCTGTCCTCATTCTAAACGCCCTTGTATTGTGTGAGCACTGAATAGGAATGTAGCCAGAGTGATCAAATACCCTAAATCATTTTTAAAGTGGCCACTTGTATGATCTTCCTTCCTATAATAAAGACAAGGATCCAGATGAGGAAGCAAAATGTTATTAGGTAATTTGCCAAGATCAGACACCTTCTTAGTAATTACAGAGCACAGGGCTCCCGATTCCAGGGCCCTCTCCACTACCACACTGCCCACAGAACCTCTCCTAGCCTTTCATCGTTTATATTTCTGTAATTTTTTTTAGCAAAAGAAAATGGACTGAAGAATTCTTTCCTCTTTCCAGTTAGGTAGAGATGTCCATGAGCAGACAAAGGTTCCAAGGCAGCCAGCCAGAGAGCACCAAGAGCCTGGATCCTACGTGGGTTGAAGAAACACGGGAGGGACCCAAAAGACACTGCAGGTTTGGCCTCCCCCACCCAGCCTTCCCCCCATGTGCTGCTTCCCTCCCTCCAGGAGATGTGCCCACAGGCTACAAGTGCCAAAAAGGTGACAGGGACAGGAGGAAGGAAAGAAAAGAAATGAGGATGACACAGTGGATGTTTTGCCTCTAAATAAGAGCACGTCTGAATGCAATGTGTACTTGTACAATTCCAAGATTAGAGCCATTATTCTCAATCTACCAAAATGGCCAAGAAGACAGCAGCAGTTCAGCAGCAGCCTCAAGGTTGTTCCTGGTGGATGGTTTTATCAAAATTTCTCTCTCTTCTAATTACTGTTATTAATGCATTATGGTACATTTTGCTTTTCGGTTTATAAAGCACTTTCATAAAAGGAAAATCTTGTGAAGTATTTAGTTATATGTTCTGCAATTAGGAGTTGGTTGAGATAGGATAAATGAACGTAAAATCCTCATCTTTCTCAGTCATCAAGTTTGTGCCTGAGGTTTTAAGAAATGTTTCAAGGATCTGTGTACATTATCTTCCCGTGTGTCTCCATGGACATAGAGAGGGCAACAGAGCAGTTGATATGTCTCTATCCCCAGTTCTCTTGTTTGAGACCCACAGACTCAACTACAACTCCACACTTACCCTTGGATACCTTACAGGACTCTCAAATTGCACATTTCCCAAACTAGTATCTCCCCAATCCCCCATGTCAGTACATCACTCCACATCCAGGTTGGCAATCCAGAAACTTCATGCTTCACTGCACTGTTATGACAGATAGTCAGGAATCATGCCCTGTTGATTCTGCCCTAATAGCTCCTGATCTGACCCATGACTCTCCAGCCAAACTGCCACCACCTTAATATATAGGCCATTATCAGCTCCTGGCTGGATCATTACAATAGCATGTTACTTAGCTAGTTTCCCAACAACCTCCAGTCTTTGTTTCTCTTGAAACTGGATACCATAAGCACAGTAGGTAGAAACTCCTTCCTACATAGGATAAATCCCATTCCTTGAAATGGCCCATGGCGATCTCTGCAATATCCTTTCTGTAAAGTCTTTAAAAAGAATCCCAGTACTTTTTTTTCAGGTTTCAAGTTCTAGAGGCAAGTCCACCAGCTTTTCCAAGAATTAGGTAAACCCCTGAGGCTCACAGGGATAAGTAGCATCAGGCACAATGTGGCTTTTAAACTAGCTTAATTTAGAGTATTGTTTCTGTGTTGATCAACTATACGAAGCTTTGGGGGACTATTAGAACAAACAAGAAAAAGTATAGGGTTAAGAGTTAGCACCTGTCCTGTTGTGGGAAAATAACACAGTGGGTGCTCATAGCTTCATTCGGGAAATGTTACTCACCTCTGGTCTCCAAACAGGATTGTTACAGTGAGGCTTCTCTTAAGAGGTTACATGTAAAACTACCCCTTCTCCTGTTAAAATTTTTAATGTCAATACGTGATGGAAGAATATGCAAAGTTACAAGACAACCCCACTCATAACTGTAGAACACTGTAAAGATGTTTATTACGTTTAGATATCGAAGAAGGAGGTATATTTCTAAGTTGTGACAGAATTAGAAAAAAAAGTCATCATTATCTTCCCCACTATGCTATCCCCAAGTATTGGTCACCTTTCCCAAACCCTGTGCTATCACTTAAAAGTCTCAGCTTTCTCATATACAAAAGTAGAGCCCAGATTACCTCCCTAATTCCAGTCAAGTAAGGAATTTGGTGGAAAAGAGAAACTCGCATTTGCACAAGAATTGTGCCAGATCTGCTGCTTCCAGCAGACACATTTCCAGAATCCTATTAGAAATGAATAGTCATAGGGCCGTCTATGGGTGAGTGTGGTGCTGACAACACCAAGTCAAGGGTTAAGATCCCCTTACTGGTCATCTTTAAAAAAAAAAAAGAAGAAGAAGAAAGAAAGAAATGAATAGTCGTATAGATTTGGATTTATGTGACATTGGTTTTGTGTTCAGGCTTCAACCTCTTACTATCTGCAAATAGTTGGACTGTGTCCATTTCCTTTCTTGGAGAGTTGGAGAAAGGTTCTAATTCTGGTTCTGGCTACTGGTTGGTATTTCAGAGTAGCTTTGTGTGACTATCCAAAAACTGTACAAAAAACTTTATTTTTGAGAATCAGAGGGTAGCAAGAGGCTTAATGAGATTCTAACTAAAGGAGCCCGGGACCCAAAAAGGTTAAGAATCACTGATACAGATTTTTGTGCTTTCACTCCTATCCCAGACACATTCATTCCAAACTCCCATGATGTTCTATAAACATTGTCATGAAGAATGGCCAAGTAGTTAAAAGTAGAACTTGAATGTGTTATAAAATTACAACAGCACAGAGAAAAGCACTCAAAACTGAACCAGAAAGAAAGTCCATGGTAATTAATTAGACTGCATTTTATTTAAATAAATGAAAATTTGCCCCAAATAAAACCAGGAATCAAATATTGTCTCGGACTAGAGGTAATTGCTAAGCTTGAAGCTTACACTGAAAGCTAAAATTTCCAACTTTGTCTATCTGTAGTTCCAAACAGCAAAGGAAAATAATGGAAGAAAGTCTCTATGTACAGAGAGAGGCAACTCATGGTTTCCATAAGCAGAATAACCTGAGGGAGAACACGTACATACCCAACTACAAGAACTGGCGAGAAGGTCCGAGTCTTACGTTGTTTTCTATTATACATGGCTCCCTAAGTAATGCCAAAAATAGCAAAACTGAGGCACTTGCTCCAACTTCTTCAGTTTACATTTGATTATTATATACTTCATAATTTACCAGCAGCTTTAGAATTATAAAACAGAATTGTATTTCATGCTACTGTTGGTGTTCTTGTTAATAAAATGACGTTGCTCAACAGACACAGATAGTGTAGACAAGAAGCAATCCAGGACACGCCCAGGTATTACTACAAAAATCACAGTCATGAAGCAGCTAGCAGAGGAAGACCAAAGCCAGCTGGTAAGAAAAGACCAACACAAATGCAGTGAAGTGGCAGGGTGGAATTTAAACCAAAAAATGTTTTCCACAAACTACACAAATCTCTGATCTGCTCAAAACAGCGCAAAGTTTCTTCCTGCCATAGAGAAGTTGATCAATATGAACTCACAAGGAGCTGTTATCTCCAATACTTTTTAGTTGATCTTCAAAAATTGACACCGATTTCTTTTAGATTTCTTTTAAGTCTCAGTTGGCAAGGAAAAAAAAAATTTAAACCAGATGGTTTTTAATTTGGGGATTTAAATGTTTAATATTTAAGCACAGGTGGCTACTATATATATTTGAGAATAACTCCTAGAAGGATATTAAGTGTTTTCCAACTACAAGGTCATACACTGTCATTACAAAGTGTCTTACTAATATGGCCAATTATTTATGTAGTCAGGATTGTTAACATAAGAGAAATTACTTTTGATTGTAACAGCAAATTTTCTTTCTGCTAAAAGCAGGCTTTCTAGAACATTAATTTTTAAAAACCATTAATTGGCAAAGTTGAAATTTAAATTCTCGAACTGGAATACTTAGTTTGAGTATAATTTAAGAAGCAAATATGCCAGACCAGTTTTACATTTGAAAAAGTGAAACTTTAGATAGGTGACAGTCCGTTCTTTGTATGACAATTATCTGACAAAATCCTTTATGTGTTAGCATGATTTGTCATTTTGACACTTCAGAAATTTTTCCAATATCAAGGCATTTTTACTATTAAGTCTTCTTAAAATTTCTTTGAACCAAAAATATTAACACTGTTATAACACCAAGGTCAAGGGTTCAGATTCCTGTACCAGCCACCAAAAGACAAAAACAAAAATAAAATCCCAAAAATATTAACACAGAAAATTGACTTTTCAGGAGTTACCAGATGGTAGAATTGTACAGTAATGTCAGTCTGAGAAGATACTGGTTTATTTCAGCAAAAGCATCTCTGCCATGACTTCCACTGAACATCCAACTCAAACCAGTGTCAAGTGATGCTTTCATGTAGTGACTACATCAGAAAGTTCCACCAGCTTATCAGTCATTGTCTTATCATTGTAATGCCGTAAACATATGCCCCAGGCTTCCTACTATCTAATAAAACCAGCAAATCTAAGTGAAGCAAATATTTTATTTAAATCGTTTGTCAAATAACAATTTATCCAATTGAACATAATGCAACATTATTCTTAAAAGAATGGACACAAATATGGCACAGACACAATCCAGTATCTATCAAAATACCATTTGTAAAGAACCTGACTTATTTCATGCTGTGTGTGAAGGCAGTCCAGCATATAAGAATCAAAAACGTTTAACAGCCCATTCTTTTCTTCATAACATTAAAAACATTTCACTACATTGCCTCAGGATTAAACACACTCATCTGTCCAAACAACCATAACCAGTACGAGGAAAGACTTAAATGTTAAATCTGCTACTGGGAAAAAACTTCTTTCTAACCTGCACTGGTCTAGAAAGAAAAATTTCACAGTAACCATGGAATATTCTGTATGTTTCAAAATGCTTTTTATTTTTAACACACTGTGCATAATAGTGAAGTGACCAATTTTGGAGTACTAGTAAACATGGATCTAATCATTAGTGAATTTTAAAATAAGAATTGTATCTTCTGATCAGGAATGTCATTTCTAGGAAGCTCTGTTTTTCACAGATTGTAATCGAGGCTCACAGCTTCCCCAGGCTCCGCCACGGCTGCATGCCATGTCACATATCGTGTGATATGAAAAGCACGTTAAACTGCACATTCCCTTAAAAGTTAAGAGAAAATATACAATAGATACAGAAGGAAGATTACTTAAAACATACATATAAATACATAAAGAATGATACTCCAGTTTGAGAAGCAGAACTAGGTGTTGCCAACTCCAGTTCCAGGTTAAAAATTTAGGACCTTAAATCAGAAACATTATATGGTATCAAGGGAAAATAACTGGGTGGTCTTGAAAAGAGGAAACATTAAATGGCTACAGCTCCCGATGAAGCCTCAGGATTGTCAGGGACTGTCGAAATGAGATCGGTTGATGGGTCTGCTCTCCGGTTCTCAAAGTTCTGAAATCTCGGTCTTAGGTCTCAGCAGCAGCAGTCCCTTTCTTCTACTCCTCTTCACATTCCCATCTTGCAAATATACAATTAGTTCAACTGTAGAAGGAAACAGGAATCAGAGTAAATAAAATCTTTTCCTCCCTCATTTATTAGCAACAGAATAGTTGTGCACTGTGCCACCTGGGAACCCTAGTGATACCATAGTTTAACTACGCTAAAAAAAAGATGATGAAGGTCCTTATTACATTAAGCAATGCTACCACGAAACTAGTGGCTGTGGTTCCCAGGCTCATCATATCCACTGGAAAATGTTTAAAAATGCTTGTTACTATTGCTACAAACTAAATTTCTTTTTTTTCCCCCCAGACAACAGTAGTTTCTTTAGTCCAATAAACTAAATTTCACGCAGTCAGATATAAACCTACTTTGGGCTGCTAGTTATTAAAAAAAAAAAAAAAAAAATTCACCAAACTAGTTGGTATGGTGCTGAGTACAATGTATTTCTTATGCCTCTGAGCCAAACACACACGCCCTTTATTTTCTTCTAAAGCAGTCACAGTAGGGGTAAAATGAAACCATTATTTTCATGACATCAATAAAACTAAACGGCATTTCAATGAGAAAAAAAGAAACTATCACAGATCTTTTAGTCTAGTTGATAGTTATTTTCCCAACTGAAATATTATAAAATCATAATGATCTGAACTCCCAATTTCTTTAGAACAAATTTGCTATCTAGTGGTACAAAAAAGGAAAAAAAATCTTTTTTCTATTCCTCTTTTTGGCAGCTGGATGGTTTGGGGATCTGAACCCGTGGCTTTGGTGTTACAAGAACGCACACTAACCAACTGAGCTAACCAGCGAGGCCCCCCAAAATTATTTTACAAGAAAAGGAAGCTTACTTACACGACGCTTTAGGATTCTGTGAGTTCTGATTTGGCTGATTCTCTCTCTTGCTCCTGCATCTCCTCCTGTGTCTGGGTTTTGATCTCTTTATCTGACTCAGTATGCACTCTCCCTTCCTGAAATTCTACTTCCTGGGCAGCTTCCTTCTCTCTTAGTTTTGGTCTATTTGTATCTGGGGATTCTTTGGTTAAATCTCCCGAGGCATCAGGATCTGCCACAGCTGAGTTTTGATCCTTGGGGTCATCGACAACATCACCTTTTACATCTTCTTTGGATTCCAATGGCAGCTTCTCTATTCTTTCTTCTAGCACGGCACGGCCATCATCTTCTGCCACGGACTTTATTCCGTCTCCCTCTGCCTCGGGTGGGAGAGTTGCCTCTTCAGGCTGCTTGTCATTTACCCCGGCGCTTGCCACTTCAGCGGTCACAATCTCCTCTGCAGCTTCGCTCCCATCTTTGGAAACAGCAGGACACGTCTGTCCTGCAGCGGTGAGCTCTGACTCCTCTTTAGCCGCACTGACTTGTGTCTCCTCCTTTGCAGAGGCCTGATGGTCACACTCTTCTTTCTCTGTTTTCTGTCCGGCTTTTATCACGTGAGCCTGTGTCTGTACGTCAGATGTAAACATTTCTGTGGCTGTTTCTTCTGTGCATACGAACTGGTCAACGGCCGTCTGAATTATGTTTTGGACAAGTTTACTGCTCTCAGTCTCTAATTCCAGAATCTCATTCTCAGCCTTTAAATCATCCTTTCTTGCTACACTCACACTGACCTCCTGACAAACAACCTGCTCGTCAACTTCATCTGACTTCCATCTCTGCAAAGTGGTTTTCTCTCCTTCCAGATCAAAACGTATGCCTTTTCCAGCAGTGGCAGATACTGTTACTGGTATTGATTCCGTCTGCGACTCGGGCCCTGCAGGCCCGGCATCTTCTCCTGGCCGACCAGTAACCTCGTCACCTTTTTCCGAACAATTCTCTTCCACTACTAAATGTGCACCTGCAGACTCCAACATGTCACCTGTTTCTAAAATTTTGACAGTTTCTCCTAAGACCTTCTCTTCCACTGCTGCAGCCGTTAGAGTTAATAAAGCCTCAGAGCTTTGAACTTGAATTTCTGTGCATACTGCCCCCTCTTGAGCTAGGCATGGAGGAGGGCTTCCCTCAAAACTGCTGACTTCCGTTTCCCCATCTATGACTGTCACATGAACTACGTGAACCAGCTGCTTGCTGAGCTCTTCGGATACGGTGACAGCTGCCGTCCGCTCGAGCTTCTCTTCGCTCACCTGGGCTAGCTTTGCTTCACTTTCCTCCCTTTCCATTTGAACCACCATCTCTCTCTCCACTGGGGATGGAACAGATTTCGGAAGACTCTGGAGTTCAATACTACCATTCTTGTGACATGCACCTTTGTTAGTCACTTCGTCTTTAAGGGAAGCTTCAATGACCTTCTCCTGACTGACTGTCATGTCTGTATCTGTAGACAGCTCAAGTCCTTCAGCGAATGGCACGTCTTTGGTTTCCTCATCAGCAAACTGGCCAGCCTCTTGAATCGCCTCCGTCTTTGTCAGAATGGGTACAGCTTCCACTGACACCTCTTTATCTGTAGGTTCCAGAACTTCTTCCACTTTTGACGGTTCTTTATTTTCCTCCTGAGACTGAAAACTAGAAGGTGCTGGAGGCCCCTCTGTCTGTGCGGGAACTGCCTCTGTTTCTGTGGCCTGTGACTGGGTGCCAGAAGCCACGTTATTATCTTCCTGGATTTCCACGATCTTGTCTTGCTGTGTTGTATGTGGAACTTCACAATCTGCTACTGGGATATTTCCACGGGTCTCACCGTCTGTGAGGGTTTCAGCTGAGTCAGGGGGAGTAGCCTGTTCCATGAGAATGGCCTGTGATTTTACCCCAGCTAAGGTTTCAGCTTGACAAGTGGTTATAAGCTCACTGGGCTCTACACTCTCTGTGACTTGAGGACCTTTTTCAAAGCTTTCTGGGATGGTCTGTTCAACTACCTTCTCTTGTGGAACGTGCTCAGTTCCAGTCTCTTGCACACGTCCTTTCAACACTACATCCATCTCTCTCTCCTGCTCTAGTGCTGTGGAATCCGTTTCTGCTTCTTCTGCCCTCTCTGGTGTTTCTGACTCTACTTTCTGCATGGTCTCAATGGTGTCATCTGGCTCACTGGTGTCAGGCAGCTGCGACTCCTCTTTCACTTTTTCTGCAACCGCCTGCAGGACCTCTTGCGTCCGCCTCTCTTGGTCTGCTGTGTCTGGCACGTCATCCTCTACCTCCTGAACGGGTGTCGCTTCCTCTGTGGTGTTTGGGGAGTCGGTTAACTGGGAAACCGCTGACACCATTTCTGTGGTCTCTTCAGCACCAGACGCTTCAGTGGCTTCTTCAGCACAGAGTGACTCTGTAGTTTCTGCAGCTGTCACCACTTCAGAAGTTAATTCCAGCTCACTCGCAATGGTGTCGTCGCAGCCATCTCTGCCCCCTGGCAAAGTTTTGGTAACCACAGGGGTTTCTTCTACAATGATTTCTCTTTCAAATACCTCTGCAGTTAATGGTGTGGCCTCATCTTCTGCTTGTTCAAGAGGTTCCGTCACGGAAGCAGATATCCATGAAGGAGACCTCTCTTCAATACTGGTAACTGCCCTTGTCCCATCAATGACAGCCACGGTCACCGTGTGAACCAGATTTTTACTGAGCTCTTCGGACACATACACTGAGACCTTTTGCTCAGGCTTCTCTGCACTTTTCTGGGCTTGCTGGGTTTCCATTTTCTCCCTTTCTACTGCATCATACTCGGACAGAGGCACTACAGCTGGGACATCCAGGTCATCTTCGGTGACCTCCGCCGGCCCTGTACCTTCAGCAGTGGCTTGTTCTTGTTTCCCATCTGACCTTTTCTTCCTTCGTCCAGGGATAAATTTCTTAATTGAAACCCAAGATTCTTCTTTCCCAGGTTCAACATCAGAGGCTGAATGTTCTATACCAGACCCAGGTACAGAGTCTTCATTTTTCTCTTCCAGTTTTGACTTTGATTTTTTTCTTGCCGTGACTAATCTTTTAAATGACTCCCAGGTGGATACGCCCTCCCCTTCAGTAGGGCTTCCAGCCTGCTCGGGTGAGGAACTTCCCTGCCCTTGATCATGTTCTTGGGAACTAGCGAGGACAGGGTCTGTTCCTGGTTCTTTGTCTTTTCCAGCCTCATCTGCTTTTTGACTGTCTCCTCCCATCATTTTCGGTCCCCCTTCCTCATCAGAAGATGATGCTTTTCTCGCTCTTTTCTTGGATGATCCCACGCATATTAAAGCTTCCCAAGATACTGACGTGTCCACCTTACGCTTGGGTTCTTCTGGCTTTTGCTCTTCTCCACCTCCTTTGATTTCCTCCTGCATTTCAAAGGCTGCGCTCTCCGCAGAAGACAGGGTGGCACTCTTGACCTTGTCCGGTTCATCCTCCTTGTCACTGTCAGAAGGCCTTCTCACACGTTTCTTGGGGGTCACCATCTTTTTGAAAGATGCCCAGGGAGTCACACCTTCTCTTTTTTTCTCTCCATCGGAAGTAGCTCCTTCTTCGACTTCCCCCTCCTGGTGTCCCTCCACCGCCCCCTTCTCCAGGCACGTGATGTCCTCGGGTTCTTCAGGGGACGAGGCAGAGCTCTCCCCCTTCTGCTCGTCGGCACTGTCTGGAGAATCTGTTGGAACCTGACTATGTTCCCCCGACACTTCATCTCCGCCTCCTCTTTTCCCTTTCTGTTTCTTTCCAGAAAGCTTTTTTAAGCCAGTGCTAGTAAAAAGTTTCTTTAAAGGACTTCCTTGCACCTTAATTTTCTCTTGGGACGACAGCATTTCCACCTCACCGACGACGCCCTCGGGGTGTCTGGACAACACTTTGTCATCAGGACTTAGTTCAGCTGGCTGGGTATGGTCCCCTCCAGAGACAGAGACTTCTGTGGTCTTCGCCAGCTCCTCAGCAGGTTCAGCTTCCTGAGGTCCAGCATTTGTTTCCACTAATTTCTCGGGTGGCAAAGGTTCTTCTGTTTCTCCGCCCTCCGCTGTCTGCTCCTCTGTGTCCTTCTCCAGCGTGCTCGTGCTGACGTGCACCTCTGCAACGACTTCCTGCTGGACTTCTATTTTTTCATCAAATATTTCTGTTGCTAAAGGAGCGGATTTCTCTTCCAAAGAGCCCTGCAGGCCACTAAGGCGACCTTCCGGGGGCAGCTCCACTCTCTCGAACTCGGCTGACAGCCTGGCCTGGCTGCCGCTCTCTGCTGGCCCCTGGGGACGCGGTTGCTCCGAGGCATCTTCTGCCTTCCCGTTTTCCTCTGTGTCTCCTCTTCCTGGCTCTTGTTCCTTTTTCTTCTCTGAAGCTTCCAGCTCCTCCTCCTTCGGCTTCTTGAAACTGGTCTTTTTCCGCCAGCCAGCCCAGCCTTGAGTAAAGAACTTTTTGAAGGGTGACGCTGTGTCACCGGTCACTGGACTAGTGGGAGATTCTGGAGACTTGCTCAGTTCTTTTTCTTGTTTTCCTTCACTTTCATCTCTGCCTTCCTCTGCTGCTTGACCAGATTCAGCTTGAAGAGAAATGTCTGGGTTGCTCTGCTCGCGCGTGAGGGTCTCTTCAGGTTTCTCTGCAGGCTGTTTGAGTTCAGTCTCTTTGGATGCTGCTTCTCCGGGCTCTGAGCTGGGCTCCTGGTGGTCGCCAGCTCCTGCTGCTCCTTCGCCTTCTTCTTTCTTGACCGTGAGCAGTTGCACGGTGTCAGACTTCTCGGTCTTCTCCTTTTTCACAGTGAATTTAAAGCCGACAAACTTAAACACCTTCTTAAATCCAACATCATTAGCCTGGGACTCAGCAGGCTGTGCTAACTCATCTGAAGTGCTTTCAGAAGAAGGAATCTGTTCGATTATTTCGGGCATTTCCTCCTGCCCATCATCTGCGATGTCTTGAACAACCGCTGAGTTAGCAGCCATCTCTTTATCTGAGTCTCTTTCGCTCACATCTTCAGACTCTTTCTGTCCAACTATTAACAAAAAGGAGGGGGAGAGAAGAAGGGGGGAAATGATTACAATTCAAGAAAATTAAATATGTGTAAGACATGGCCAATTAATACTTTCTTTAATGCCAGGCAATTCCAGAATAAGGTAAGGGTCTTGTGGGAGTTTGTAAATCTTAACAGATTAGGCAATGTCTACTTTTTTCAAGTGACCTTTAAAAATGTAGGTTCAAAGGTACTACTCTGCTCTTTCTGTTCCCTGTTAAAGGGAAAGTTAATAAACTCAACGATCAAAAAATTAGCTGCACATAAGTGGCCACTAAGGTGGGTCAACCCAATAGTATACCTTTTGTTGCAATGCAAAATGGAATTACACATCACACCCATAATTTTAAACTACAACCCATCCAATTTTAGATATAACTTCTACTTTATAGGAAATACAAGGTTAGAGGAACAAGCCGAATAACAACACAATAGAAATAACAATAATACAAATAAGTTTTGACACAAGTCTAAAGGAAGGGACATTCTATGTGATAACTAGCCTGATCTCAATAGGTCCCAAAAAGGGACCAGATCTTCTTGGAGAAATTCCAGTCTGGGTCACGGAAAGTATGAGGAACACTTTGCTGTGACAGAAAGGAGGTGCTGAAAAGCTGATGGGGTAAGCCGAAAGGACACAAGAGCCAGCTTGACAAGGCTCTTACTGGCCAAACTTTGAAGCATAAAAAGAATGGTGCCATTGATGGGTTACAGCACATGGAATAAAAAAAGAATCCATGAATCGAGAGCGATACTAAAAAGTAAATGGAGCAGGGACTAATTCTCTATGAATTAATGTTAATGAACACAGATAAAACTTCCACTTTGATCCTTAAAGTCATTCTTTTTAGAATTTCATATTTTTCTTTAAAATCACAATTTACAAACTCCCTTGTAATAACTCATTCAGTTGAGAATCAAGAAATGCTAAAACCATTGGATGAAAGGTTGTCAGTAAACACACAGTTTCATTTCAAAGTATCGACACACAGATTACTTAACTATTTTTTTTAAAAAAGCCCTTACAATAAAGAGATCTGGCAGGCATCACCTTAACCAAGTGATCAAACTTAACATCCTCAATAATGGGACAAATGTCACCATGCTTCCTGACGTGAGGCACTGAGAAGGACAATAAATCACCTACATAGTATTCTTGACAAAAATGTTTAACAAAATCTAATCATGAGGAAACCATCAGACAAATCTACAATGAAAAACATCTCTACAAAACAACTAGCCTGACCTGAAATGTCAGTGACACAAAGGGAAAAAGTCAAGCAAACACCAGAAGGACCGTCTGCAAGTAACTTTCAAATAGTTTAAGGAGAGAGAAGGGGAAGAGAGAATGCGGTAAAATATCCATAATTGGTAAATTAGGTGAAGTATATAGGTGTTTGGGTTTTTTTTGTGGGTTTGAAATTTTAAAAATCATTGAGAAGAAGTCATCGGTGTGCTTTAATGAAGGGGTATGAGGCGTACCATGCTAAATTAAGAGATTTCAGGAACATAACCAGAGATGCCAGGCATAGCCCTGAACTAGATGTCTGTTAGGGCAAACCAGCTAAAGGACATTTGGGGGTCTTGTGAAAATTTAGGTATGATTTGGAACTAGATGAATTTTTACTGATATAAAAGGTAGAGATTTTGACTAAAGAAAGGAGTTTACCAAACAGTATATACAATGACCTCATTTTGGCTTAAAAACAGCTCCGTCTCTTTTCTTCTCTCTCTCACACACACACCCTTCACATAAGATCTCTGGAAGGTGGGAATGTGATATATTTTAGCTTTGTTAGTCTGCATGTTCCCTTTTTGTTTTGTTTTTTCAGCTAGCTGGTTGGGGATCCAAATTCACGTCAAGGCTGCACTCCAAACAACTGAGCTAACTGGCGAGCCCTGACGCAGTCCGGTTTCAATGTGCCTTGTATTATGCTACCCTGTAAGTTAATCTAAAGTTGTTCTGTTTTCTTACTTTTTCTTCTCAAACATTATTAGATTACTGGATATTCATAGAAGAAATCTGTAAATTATTCGGGTGTATTTTTCTTCAGACTCAAGAAGGGCCTTTGCTTTGGTGACAAAGTCATAGACGCTCTACCCTTCTAGTCTGTAAGAGCTTTGGTAATCAGCCAGTTCTCACTTACTCTAACATCAGCATCCAGGTTAATATAAAAAAAAAACAACAAACAAAATCCTGAGAACTAAACATTTTATACATAAAAGGAAGTCTGAAGAAAAACCAAAAATGTCATTATCTTGGTCTGAAGTATACCTCTTAAAGGATTTTCCTTTCCCTTTTTTTAAAAATCACTATAGAGGGCCGGCCCGGTGGCGCACTGGATAGTGCGCCGCTTGGGAAGCATGGCGGCGCTCCCGCCCGAGGGTTCGGATCCCACATAC